CCTCCAGACAAGTTGGCAGATTTAAGAGGCAGGAACGTCCTCTTTGGGAGACATGCTGAAAATTCTGTAAGATGTTGTTTTCTTAAGAAGTTGCTGTTAAGCGCCTTTTGCTAGGACGTTCATAGTTTTGCATGAGAGATACGTCAAGTTAATAGAACTGGAGTTGCTTGCTGCCATCTTGCCATCCTCCTTATGTGAGGGAACGAGATTGGTTGTCTCCCACTGTGAGAGCAGTTTCCCTGTTCTCTTTGACAGCTCAAAGAAAGCTAAAGGAGGCTTTGCTATCTCCGTTGATAGGTCCTTAGATAACAATCCAGGAATCCCATCTCGTCCAGGAGAGTTGTCTGGCTTAATTTGACGGAGCACGCATCTTACTTCTTCAACGGAAGTATTTAGAGAATTTATTGAACGAACGGGAACACAATGAACACCCACTCCAGTGTTACCAATAATAATAATTTTTAATTAAAGACCCGTCGGGGTCTCATCAAATGGGATGGCCTACCCTGTCCCTTTCTGTCCGGCGGTTTCCCGCAGACCTGAGGGAAGTATTTTATATGGTGTGTGGTAGCAGAATAGAATAAGTTAATTATAGCATCCACTGGGTGCTGCAGAATTGGAAGCTGTGCATTCGCGATTGGGAATTATAAGATAGGCGCAAATACCCGGAATGGTTGATGACATTTCTGAAACTATGAAAGCCTAACACGTTACTTTGATAGCTCTCCTCGAGGTTGGCTGCCTTTAGTATGCGAGGTTTCCATGTAGGTGAAGACTAAGCAAGCAGAAGAGTTCTTGCGAACCGTCTGCGCGTTTAAAACGGTGCAGGGCCGCCTGCTCTCTGTAGGACATATGTAAATTGCATAAGCCTCAGAAAGCCCCATTAACTCGTCGGAGAATGGACTTGGTATTGTACAAACTGTCGCCGTCGGTTTAATAATCTGTATTTGGCCCCCTTGATAGAAATAAATGGTTGAAAAAGCTCAGCGGATATTCTCACAAAATTTTGAATGGTGTAGAATATGGGAGATCGGCATCTAAGGTCTTATCCATTTCTCCGTCAGCTAAGTATTTGAGGACGGCATGACTCCATTCCGAGAGTTAAATCTCATATAGGTAACTGTGTTCACGACATAACCAAAACCGATGTCTTTCTTCACATCGTGGGGGCCAAAAGACTAAGGAATGAGACGGCATATGTGGAAATTGTGGGTTGTGAAACCCTGAGTTTCACAGCGTTCGCTGCCACAGGTGTGTTACCCAGGATCGCGGGATTAGAATAATGTCCAGGCTATCTGACTCTCTTTTTGGTCCAGTACAATATCGTCACTGCTTTTAGGGGTAGAGTCTCATTTGACGTTTTGGGTTTAAATGTTCCACGCATACGTTACACTTAGCACTCATCGCGAACATCAGGGTAGTAATTTGTTGCTAAATTAACTTACATTTGAACACAGACATTATATGAATAACCCAATCCTGTTGTAATTGCTTTTCCTCTTGCACTAACCGATCCAGAGATGCCTCCTCTCACACACTTTGTTGATTCACTTCAAGCAAAAAAGCAGTCTTTCCATTTGAATTAGGAGGATAGCAGTTTCAGTCTACCCTGTTGCATAGCACATCTGTGTTTTGTATATGCTGTTGTTTTGGTGACATCTAGTAAGGCAAAGATACTTGCTATTGTGTAACCTTGTGCAACAAGTGGGTTTACATAGTGTCCCGCATTCTATCAGTTGTGTGCATGTCAGTACTATTTTTTTGCTGTCTTCTCGCCATTTTGAAGAGTTTTGCATGCCGTAAAACCCTTCTGTCTTCCCCCGATCGTCCGACTATTTTTACCGCGGCCAATGTGCTCGCGCACTGTTTTTACCGTTTGCAGTCATCAGGGCCTTTCAGTCTATTCGCTACCCCTGCCCAAGCTTTTTTTAAACACACAAGTAGATAACTCGGGTTCGGTACATGCATAAATAGCAACAAAAGTCGACAAGGTATTCCAGGCTCACTACCCTTGACTAGTTAACCCATTGAATGCTACTTTCACCATAAACTCCAGTGTCGTTCTTGCAGCCTAATTGTCTCCTATAATGTTATATCAGAAAATGCCTAGAATTCGTGTTTAGTGTTTTCTGTATAGATTTTTGCAACTAGAGGTATCGCAATATCATAGAAACGAAATTAAAAAACCTGCCTTACCTTGGGTAATTTTAAGTTGGTCTGACGGCAGTTGGTAAAGAGCCCACGCACCCTTTCTTCCCTCAGCAGCCTGGTGAACGGAGCATGGAGGGCGACAAAACGGCCGATTCCGCCAAAAATGATATTTCGAAGATCCCAGTCAATGAGATGACATCTAAGGACTACTACTTTGACTCTTACGCCCATTTTGGGATACATGAGGTTCAGCTTCCATTATTAGTAATTGCCCCTTCAGGAAATGTTAAAAGATGAAACTAGAACTTTGACATACAGAAATGCCCTCATGCACAATAAGCATCTTGTGAAGGATAAAATTGTCCTCGACGTTGGGTGCGGAACCGGGATCCTGTGTCTTTTTGCCGCTAAAGCTGGCGCCAAACATGTCATCGGGGTAAGTGTAGCACATTCCATGTGACTTCCGTAGATTGAGTGTTCCAACATAATAGATCACGCGAAGGAAGTCATTAATTCAAACGGAATGGCTCACAGTAAGTCTTAGCAAAACGGCATTCCCTGTCAACGGCTGTATTTGATTTGTTATTGTTTGTATTCATGTAGTCTGCCGACACAGCATACCACAGGTCCACTGTCTTCAGTTAAATCCAGTTGCTTTCATTCTGAAGCCAAATACAGGGAATTTGAGTATGTTTAACGTATGACACTTGGAAAACTTCGCTCAGTTATTAGACATCGCTCATAAGTTATCAGAAGTGCCTTAGCCGTTGTTTCAGCTAAGGGCTACATGCCTATCAGGGCTTACTTACTTGCCTTACTAATACTTGCTTCTCTTTAGAAATCACGTTAATTAAGGGCAAAGTAGAGGAAGTTTCCCTCCCCGATGGCATCGAGAAAGTAGATATTATAATCAGCGAATGGATGGGCTACTGCCTCTTCTACGAGTCCATGTTGAATACCGTCCTCTTCGCCCGCGACAAGTGGCTGGTAAGCCTGCTCTCATTTCTATCATCGGACAGTTCTGTCTATTTCAATTTGAAGCTGATGTTGCGTTTTGGCTACTTATTAGGCTCCCGGAGGCCTGATTATGCCCGACCACGCGACTTTGTACATATGTGCGATCGAAGACCGGCAGTACAAGGATGAGAAGATAAACTGTACGTTTTCGGTTTACTTTCAGACCTACCACATTATTTCGCCATGTTAGTGAATGCGCTCTTTCCACTCGTAATACTGTACAAAATCAAATGACCTTTTGACTATTCATATCATCCAGACATTATCCTCCTATCGATCTTCACAGCCTATACCTGTATCATATAAGCAAAGTTCGATTTTTCCCTTCGTTAGGCATAGAAGGACATGAAAGCAGGCTAATGCCAAAAGCCATATGACTGAGTCGTCTCCTACTTTGTTGCCTCTTAATCGGGCACTGTCTGGGCGCGAACCTTGTCGACTGTCTAGCTCTTAACCGTGAAGTAACTGTCCACGTCTCTCATTCGCATTCTGAGCCCTTTTCCACAAAACAGAAACTTTAGTTGATTTCGCCGCCCTTTTCGAATTGAGGGAACTGCTAACCTAGTCAGGATTGATTCTGCCACGCTGCCAGACGAGACTGCATGTGTTTATCGGACATGAGGCGGATCCTGCAATGCGAATTACGTCAAAAGAACCGGTAATCCACTGCAAACACTCATAAGCTAACAAGCCGGGACAATGGAGCGAACAAACTTCCTACGGCAGAAGACTGTAACATCTAAATACTACATTTCAGGACGCAGAAAGGATGGCCGTGCGATCTAAGGGCTGCTCCAAGTGCAGCGCATCAATGCGCCAACAGCGAGCCCGTGTTCGCTCCTGTGGCTCGCCGGGTCAACGGAACCGTAGGAGACGAGGTAGATTGGGCGCGGACTTAAGCAGCAGCACCAGACCGGACTGGGCCTATTCAACTTCCGCCTGTGCCTATGTAGGTGGACATTATTCTGCGAGGACTGACAGCAGCCTCTTGGAGACTGCCAGACGCCCGCTTAAATTTGAAATTGATGACAGAATACGTCGGTGAACGCTACGTCTATCGGTATTTCCGATCACAGCCGGCAGGACTGAGCCTTTTGCTTAGTGTTGGAGACCATAACTTAGTCCTTAATAACCAAAGAGCGGGAGTTCGAATCTCGGAATTTCCGTCCTGAAGTTACATATGGCTGGCTGCCCGACCATGGCAAATAAACCAGGAATGACTTCCCGTGTCCATTGTCTTTGATAACACATGTTTCCGTCCTTCCGAACCAAAATACCAGGCGTGTTTTTTAGTTTTACGTGTTCTTAATTTTGCCCGCTCTATTTTCCACCATGAAGCAACAGTCGAACATCACATTTCCCTACTGTTTGTGTACACGAATTAAATCATGTGTAAGTGTTCTCTAATCTTATCCTTAGTCAGGCGGATGTCTTCTGCTGCAGAGGCCTACTATTAGCCATAATCTACGTCTTTTATTCATTAAAGTGTGAAAGCCGAGAGTGACTTACATCGATGGTTGATAAATCGCCCAAAACTTGACAGGTTGTTAAATCGCCTTTTCCATTGTGGGCGCTCCTGTCCCTTACTACTTTGTCGATGCCGTTGGTAGGTGGAACTACTAGACGTGGATTCCTGAATACCGTCTGGGAGTATTCTTTTTACTGAGAAACAAACTTTGGCTTATGTATTTGTCTTCCGCTTCCCTCACTTTGTGCGTTCAGGGTGGGACAACGTCTACGGTTTCGACATGAGTTGCATTCGAAAGGTAGCCCTTACCGAACCGCTGGTTGACGTGGTGGATCCTAACCAGGTAGTCACCAACTGCTACCTCGTCAAGGACGTAGACATGTACACGATCCGGGTGGAAGATCTCACCTTCTCAGCACCTTTTACGCTTACCTGTAAGCGCAATGACTACATCCAAGCCCTAGTCACCTTCTTCAACATTGACTTCACCTGCTGTCACAAGTACGTCGGCTTCTCCACGGGTCCGGACGAGCGGCGTTACACCCACTGGAAGCAGACAGTCTTCTACTTAGACAATGGTGAGGTTGATTGTTTGACAGTGAAGAAAGGGGAGGATATCCACGGTGTCTTCAGTGTCACTCCGAACGCCAGAAACAACGCAAGTTTTTATCTCTAGCTTATTATACATTCGTGCTTGTAGCCGTTATATTTGACCTCTTAATTGCCAGAGTCGCCGCATGAACCGTGCCAGTATTAATATTGCTTAGTAAGCCAATCCAACAGCAGTATTTAACTGACGTTGAATGCCGAAACACCTGAATGTTTCTTGATTGAAATTTTTAAAATTCCAAAAGAACAACATGAGATTTTTGGCAGAAAATGCAAGTTTCTAGTTGTATTTATCTTTTTGCCTCGGAGGTCCGCGCGGCCTTCCTTTTGGCAATCTCTACTACAAAGTGGTTTCGTCGGGAATGGGAGGGTTAGCTCATCATGCCAACTCAAGTTAATTTCGGCCTCCCAGTCAATGCTGTTGAAGTTGGTAGTTGATGTAGATGACGATCGTAATGCCGGTTAGGAAATAACTGGCTTCGCTCCCATGTTTGCCATGCCGCCTGGCTGAAATTGTTTTTGCTGGAGCGTTGTTTGTATCCGTGTCCGTCATCCACTTAGTCGTCATTTTAATACCGTTTATGGCCTTCATTTAGCCTTTAAACGTGGCTCGAGACACCTCGAGGGTGGAGTGCAGCTGGTTAAATGGCACAACTATCGAGAAGGTCTCTCTCCCTCTCTCACTCTCGCGGAACTGATTTTACTGAGTATTCGGAGTCCGTTTGGTTCTGTAGTTGTTAGTAAAATCAAACAATTCCTGTAACTTGGCTGAATGCTTGATCTGGACGTCCTTGTCCCTTTTTTATTCAAGTGACAGACTCTAACGTCATCTGACGGTTTACTAGTGTAGACAGGCGCACGAAAAAGACCTGGGAACACATGTGCAAGATATATTGGAAACAAAAAAAAAACGTCAAGACTCTGTTCGCCACTCTAGAAAATATATAAATTGCTGACCTCGAGGAAGGTTTCTTGTCGCCGGTTGTAATAAGAGATCTCGTCAAGCAGAACGAACTAGCAATGAATTGTATCATAGTCACGTTGTGTGCCGTATAAAACCTCGGAAAATACGCGCTCTATAGATTCTTGATCGAGGGTCGGTGTTCGCCGGTCTACAAGCTACCTTGCGGTGATACTGCATGTTGAGACATCTATGTGATATGTTAAAGTTGTGACCTCGACCAAGGCTTTTAAAGTCCCCGTTCCTGTCCTTCGAGACTAACCGGGCCTCACAACCTTCCCTGACTCTCCACCCTTTCTTTTGGTGGTTTGACGTAGTTCTTTCCTCTCTCACAGCCGGCCTTCGGCGACAGTATGCTTTACGTCGTAGCCCTCTACGCGACTCATTTCAATTTTTCGATATACACACCAAACTAAATGTTAACTAGTTTAAAAACCACTAAACTTTATTATCAACCGCCTGTTTGAAGGGAGATTCACAACATATTATTAAAGTCACAAACAGGAAATAGTCGGTCTTATTTCCTCTTGTGCACATTGCTGTCTAATGTGTGCTTCTGACCTTCTTCTCCATCTTGCATATTCATTGCAGCGTGACCTGGACATCGCAATCAAGCTGAACTTCGATGGCGAACTCTCCTCTATGAATTCCACTTTCTCTTACCGCATGCGTTGAAAGGCGTGCTCCCGCGGGTCGCACATTTGCACATATTTCTGCCGACGTCCCCGCAGCTCCACTTTGTTCCAGAAAAAATCATGCGCATTTATTGCCACCGTTTGTCCTCCAACCCGTCCGCTCCCTCCGCTCATTCCTACTTCCTCCCAGCATGTAAATTCGTTGGGCCCCACCTTTCATATCGCCGTTGACGAAACCGCGCTCTAACTCGTCCGTTACCTCTCCCTCCCCCCACTCCGTTTACATGAGGAATTATAAAAATGAAAGTATAAAATAGTAATTTTTTTCCGTGCTAACTTACATCGCTCGTAATTTGGAAAACAGCCACTGGCCAGGGCTTGTCCTTCCTGTTCCTGGCTGCTTCGAACTCGAGAGTCTTGTTGGAGAGACTTTGGCTCCTGGCCCTGTCTTCGCTCGCTCCATGTAACACAGCTTTTGGATACTGTGGCTGTTGGAGATTAAAACCCGATCTCCGAGGCAATAGGTTTACAGCAATTCCGTGCATTTCACCCTACTCGCCTGGACCTACGCCAATGCTCCGCTTGAAGTTCTTTCACCGGAGGAAATCAGGGCAGCTCTGGGGTTTTATGCGCTCTCGTTGGTCATCGGGGTGACAGTCCGTGCCCTGCATTGCGATGGCGAGGGAGTTTTACCGAGTAGGGAGTGGAAATCTTGTCACAGGGAGGCCTGAAACTTTGCCCTTTAGTAATTGGGTGGGTGGGTCGACTGGTCTCGAGACAACACACACCTTGGAGTTGTGGTGCCTGCGACCGGCGCACAACACTGTCGGTCGACTGTAGGCATGTACAAGGCAGAAGGGGTGCTCAAAGCCAAAAAGTAGCATGCTGGACTTTCCGAGGGGGAGGTCGCCCCTCGAAGACTTGCGTCCGCGCTGCCGATGCGCACTTGACCGCTGACCTTCGCAGACATAGAACGTCCGTCAGCCCAGAGTCCCGTATATCCGTGACCGGGAGAAAGGCCTTGGGGGTCGTAGAGTGGATTTGGGAAGTGTGAGTGCGTCAGAAAGGACGGGACTCTTAGTAGCTCGGCTGACGATCAGTTGGCTGCTAGGGCAGTCGGTGCTCACTGACGGCTAAAAATTTTGACTCCCTAACGGAAATGGTGAGATCAGTCGTTCGGAGACCATCCTGCTGCATAGAACGCCGTAGCTGGGCTGGGCGCTAAGTGCGCTCCTGCCCATAGGTCCAGGCCAAATTGGAAAGCCTAGAACTACACCAACCATTTGATCGAAGTGTAGTCTGGCGCGGTCATAACTACACCAGCAGTTACTTGTTCTATGGAGGGCGTAGACCATAGTTACTACGCTGTGCATGGATGCGTATAGTATTCGATTCTTGAGATGCCGTGAGGAACACCGTCTCGTCCCCCGCCCCATTACCTCAGGACGGTGGTCCCTACAGGAGAAGCGAGCCGTGTCGGTCTGACATTTCAAGATTTTCCACCTAAGTTCAAAGCCCGCTGCTAAGAGGAGCGTAGGGCCATCTACGAAGGACTGGTTAAGAAGCATGGACTTAAGTCGCCCGACGTTTCGAATTAATCCTCGGGTCCATTATAACAGAGCAGCAGGTCGAGGTTGCAGACGCGTGGTGCATGTGGAATGCAGTTCCTACGCTGTCACGCACTTAAAATTACCAGTTGTCTAAATAGTGACTGCATCCTGAGCACCCTAATAATCATGGTTCAGTTCCATTTTGGAGAAGGAGAAATACACCGGTGGCAGTCGTAAGTTCTGTACAGGGACGCAGTGCTGGTCGGAGTCCCCCCGCGCGCGCGCGCACTGGTCCGCCGGGGTGATGCGGTTGTGCACGCGTAAGCTTGGTGAGTTGATTGGGTGATGTCGGAGTTTGTGGGCGCCTGCGATGGGCTATCCTCGAAGCTGCCTGTGCGCATATTCCGACCGTCCGGGAGCCGTGATCACACAGTTCCTCGCGCAGCAGAAGGCTTATGCGCGTTTGAGGCCCTAAACATTCACGATAAACGTTCGCCCATGGTGTGATAATGACCTACTTTACAGTCACATCGTTCGTTGAGATAAACTCGGGAAATGCTGGTCGACGTAGAGTTATTGCTCCTCTAAAATTATCTGACTGATAGGCTTTTTTGGGGGGATGACGTTTCAGGTAATGCCGGCAGCTCCCTGGACACCCTAGTCGAGGGGGTCATGAATACGCTAGGGCGGGCAGTGGCTAGTGATCAATTATAAGACAGGTTGCATGATTAATGGCGCATCGTTGGTGTGAAATTAGTTCTTCAAATAAAACACAACAGTCGTACGAGATACTTTTGATAATTTTCACTTAGGCAGAATGACATTACCGACAAAGACAAGGGAGACTGGAATGGCCATTTCTGGCTTATTAGCCGCCGTCATTCAGCCATACCCAAGCCCGAAGTGTGGAACACCCGAGTCTCGAACCCGCGACCTGTTGGTTTAGAAGTCCACGCCTATCTATTGCACTTATTTGTGCAATTTAAGCGTTCGACAGTGATGTTATCTTCTGTGTGTACTGGAAAAACATTCTGCGGAACGTGCCCCTAAACCGGGCCATTTAGTAGATGTTCTACACCAACAGGGGAACTAGATCGGAGTCTGGCAGGCGTTATCGGGAGTGCGTACCCCTAACAACATAAGGGTGTGGCGACAGGCCTAGTTGCTGGCGCACGCCGTTCTGATTGGGTTATATGTCGTGCCCCTTATCTTTTATTATGTAAAATTTCGGTCAGTTTACGTTGTGGACCAAGGAGTGTGATGGTACGTCTAGGTGCGGGGTTTCACCGTGCCAGCCACCTACTCCTGATCGCGCCTCCGGTCTTCTTGACTCTGTCTTAAAACCGCGCCCGGGTGCGGAATGAAAAGAGGATGCGGTATATGCAACGTAGGCCTTCTATCACCATAAACTAATTCACGCACAAGTCACCGTCCCTGCGACCACCCTTCTGTGGAGCACACGGTGAACATCATCGTCAGTCATGATAGTCAACCTGTCACTGGAAAAACAGGCATCCGAAAGGATGCACTCTGAAAAATAATAAGCCATTCGGGAAATAAAATAAGTGTTTTCATCAGTTTCCGACAGTGGTTCACCAGTTCGTCGATATTCGCATGGCCGATGAACAGAAAACAGTCTACTTCAAACAATGCCTGACAAGGACCTCTGCGATTGCGCTGCGCCAACCTCTTGGGACTGGTTCTGATTTCCACCTGACCTTAAATTTTTTTAGGCGATATCCAAATCGATATGCCTAATGACGCATGCCCCATTTGAGTGCAACGCCTTCAGGTCGGCGGTCTTTCTTTGATAAGTAACTGCTGACAATGCCAGCTCATTCACAGCGTGATTCGTGTCCCGTGTCAAGCATGCGAATTGTCCCTGGGCATTCTTCGTTGTTTCTGAGTATCGGCGAAGTTTCCTATTTGGCCATAGTAAATTGCTTAGCAGCCCCCACAGGTTATTGTTCACACTACCTCTTCCCTATTCAGATAACAGTCAACATTTGTCATCATGACCACCGGTTACTCTGGCCAGATTTTTCCGCTTTCCAAAGTGCAAAATAAAATCAGGCTCAGTTAGGACGAAAAAACGGCATAATTTCCAGGAGTTCCCATTCTCTCGCGTACGTCATTCGCGTGAGAAAAATTCGAATAGAATTTGAAGTTTTCTTGGCCTACCGATTCGTTCGAACTTAATTTCTGGACAATTTTTTTCGGGACTAGGCGAACCTGCAACTTCAATTGGTTTTCCAGTCTTCACTTCATCGGTAGAACCGGTCCTGCAAAAATAACAAAAGATAGTCTCCCGTCGACAGGAGCCAACGGTAGGTTTGCTGATGTCAGACGAGCGTGCTGCAGCACTTTCACACAAAACTACACAGTTGTCGCAGATAAACATCCCACGACCTTTCTCGATCTTCCAGCCACCCGAAGACCTACCAGCAAATCTGGGGCTAGCTCACAGTAAGGAGGCCAACAGCATGGGCGAGGTTGTTGCAGTTTTCAGCAGACCGGACGACGCGACATCTCCGCAACTCGCTGGGCAAGAGCTCTACTCGTCCATTATTGTTGTGCCCGCCCCCTGGAGAGCGTAAAAAGAAGGTAAACTAAGGATGTAGCCTGCTACAGACCCCCTAAATGACGTTGCGGAGGTGTCGCATGGTCCTACGGTCGTATTTAAATTGCACAACGACTGGAAGCCATCAGATTCAGACGAGTCTTGAAAATCGAAAACCGCCTAAATTCTGCTAAGTGTCTTCCCACCAAACCCGACCATTCGCGGCAGTTATTTCCTGCCCAACAGGACCAGTAAAAATACGAGTATTACCTACTCGCCCATCAATGTTTCGTCTGCCGTCAGCGACGTGAACCACCACCACCGCCGCCACGGAGAGGAAGCAGCGTTTAATTATACGTACGTTCATTTATAGCGGAGCGAATTTGCAAATTATGCGCCTCACTTTCCCCTTTCTAACCCCCCCCCTCTGTTCTAATAGCACGACTGGAGGTAGGCGTGGAGGCTGCAGCTGGCGGACTGAACCCCGTCAGCGCGTAGAACACGATCCGGTCGCTACTCCATGCGGATCAGCCTTCAAGGAGAGCACATCAGATCTCACCTTTATGATACAAAGGCCACACAACGAAGGAGGCAGTGCGGTCTGACGGTAACTTAGTTATACCGACTGTTGGTACGTCGCAGTTGATTGTTCATGGCGAGGATCCACCATGCACTCATATCTTCCTCCCACGGAAGTGGTAAATGGAAGGCGAGACTACTGGAAATGCAGTAGGGTGCGGGGACTAGGATGAAGTAAGGTGATATAAGGTCGTCATCTGAGACGTACCACGCACTGGCTCAGATCTCACACTTGAAAGGGACGCCATAAAGGTTGCATCAAAAGACACTCACTGAATCTTGGCCCCCATCTCACAGGATGAACAGGCTAGCCCATCTGTCAAAAACCGTATAAGTCAGAAGTTCGACTAG